TTTATTATTTTTATTTTATGTGTATGCGTGTATTGCCTGCATGTATGTAAGTGCACCTGTGTCATGCAGTGCCTATGGAGGACAAAGAGGTCAAATTCCCCTGGAACTCAAGTTATAGGCATTTGTTAGCTGCCATGTGGGTGCTGGGATTTGAACCTGGGCCGTCTACAAGAGCAGCCAGTACTCTTAACCTTGGAGCCATCTCTCCAGCCAGTACTACTGTTTTATATAAAGGACTTGAATATTTATTTGTCCCTTGGTATCCATGGGAGTTTTTGAACCAACCTCCCATGGATGCTGAATGACAGTTTTATTGACCAAAAATTATAAAGGAGGGGAGGGGTTAATGCATTTTATCTTAGTTTCACTTAGTATTTGAACAGGAAACATATGTTCATACACATTAAATGATTCCTTTTGAGGGCCTGGTTATATGGCTCATTTGGTAAAATACTTGCTGTGCAAAAGCGAGGACCTGAATTTTATCTCTAGTACCTACATAAAAACTGGGTATGGGCCAGGCATCTTAGCACATGCCTGTAATCCCACTACTCAGGAAACAGGTGGATCTCTGTGAGTTGGAGGCCAGCCTGGTCTACATTTTGGAGCTCCAGGCCAATGGGGCTACATAGTGAGACCCTTTCTCAAAATACTGGATGTGGTGGCCCACGCCTGTAATCCCAGTTCTGGGGAAACCAGTCTCCACACACATGCATGCATACACTCATGTCTGCACACAAGTATGAAATGCTTCATTCTCTTTAAGGGCAAATTTAAGATCAGCTTTTTTGTTTTGTTTTGTTTTTTGTGTTGTTTGTTTGAGACAGGGTCTCATGTACTCCAGGCTGCTCCTGAACTTATGTAGATGAAGAAGATGACCGTGAATTCTTGATCCTCCTGCTTTCCGTACTGGGATTACAGGCATGTGCCACCATACCTAGCTGAGAACATCTTTTGCTAATTTAATTTTGAATTACAAAATTGCCTTAAAAAGTTAATGCATTTAGAAAAC